TATTCGTTGGCGGCCCGTGGCGTGCAAGCGAGATTTTCTTGTGCGCACGCAGCGACCGCGGGTGCGCATGTGTATGCGTTAGGATTGTATATTCGTTGGCGGCCCGTGGCGTGCAAGCGAGATTTTCTTAAAAACCATGCTCTGTGGCGCTCTGCTTCCCGTATGTTAACTTTCGCACGTGTGGAACGATGCAGAACTATAGGTTTGACGGAGGCGCAAAACAAAGCTTTCGTGCTCAAATGGAGCACGACAATGGACGTTCGGTGACATGTCCACACCACACAAGCACCTCCACAGACTAAAGCGAGCGATGCGAATGTAGACGTGTCAATGTTTTGAGGACATGACCTGGGGTATGGTGCTGCCTCTCCTTTACAAGAGACCGCACAGCCACGGGCGGCTAATGTCCGGACACACCATCGAACAACATCCGCCTGGCAAACTGTGTTTCATCAAGCAGCACTGCATATGAGGTGCGAAATGCTCAATATATACTGGATTACAGCATCTTTAATGTCCAAAAAGCCGTCGGCAATGACAACAACACTCAGAGCGGCACTGACAACGGCTCATGCAACGGCTCGTACAACGATTCTAACCACCAGCGAACAAACTGCGACGCGACCAGAGACATCATCTCACACATAGATATAAAATCATGAATAATGGAAACAAACAAGCTTGCCCATGCTCTGCTTCACATCCCGCGCTCCCACCTCGTCAGTCCAATCATGGGCTGCAAATCCCAACGCAGCACGACGTCGCCATGACAAGCATTAATTTGATACATACTGAGTCAACACACATTTGCGCGGCGAAGAAATCTATAGCGTAAAAAGGTGTGTTTTGCTCTGTGTGCACATGCGAGCTCCGCACCGCACCCATACAAGTATCTCGTGCAATCCCCCAACCGCCGTATCGACAAATCCAGGCTACAAACCCTCAAAACAAAGCAAGCACTCAGGCCCTGCAATATTGTCTTGCGTTACGCAGCATTATTCTACCTGGTAGAGGCCTCCTGTATAACATAACAACATCCCCCAGGCCCCCTTTCCCCCCTTTTGGCAGA